GAAGACGTAGTCAATAAACTCCTAGCAAACTAAAGCCTAGGTCTAGATGGCTGTACAGGGGAATTTTACCAAACATTCAAAGAAGAACTAACACCCATTCTTCTTACACTATTCCAAAATATTCAAGAAGAAGGAAGACTTCCAAGCTCTTTTTATGAGGCCAGCATAATCCTAATTCCAAAACCAGATTAAGATACTACAAAGAGCCCTGGCCGGTTTGGCTCAGCGGTTAGAGTGTCCGCCTGCAGCCCGGAGAGGCCCGGGTTCGGTTCCCGCTAAGGCATGTACCTCGGTTGCAGTTTGTCCCCGACCCTGGTTGGTCGTGCAGGTGGCAGCCACTCGATGTGTCCCTTTCACATCGATGTTTCCCTCTCTCTCTCTTACTCTCTCTCCCTCCCACTCTGTCTGTACAAAAAATGGAAAAATGTCCTCGGATGAGGATTAAAAAAAAAAAAAAGATACTACAAAGAAAGAAAACTACAGGCCAATACCCCTGATGAACATAGATGCCAAAATCCTCAGCAAAATATTAGCAAATAGGATCCAGCAATACATTAAAAAAAAGTATTCACCATGACAAAGTGGGATTCATCCCAGGGAGGCTGGTACAATATTTGCCCATCAATAAACGTAATACACCACATAAACAAAATGAAAGATAAAAACCATATGACCGTATCAGAGACACTGAAAAAGCATTTGACAAAATCTAGCACGCATTTCTGATAAAAGCTCTCAACAAAGTGGAAATAGAAGAATCACATCTCACCATGATAAAGGCCATATATGAAAAACCTACAGCTAACATCATATTCAATGAGCAAAAAGTAAAGGCATTTCCCTTAAGAATAGGAAGAAGATAGAGATGACCACTCTTACCACTCTTATTTAACATAGTACTGGAAGTCTTAGCCACAGCAATTAGACAAGAAGAAAAAATAAAAGGGATCCAAATTGGAAAGGAGGAAGTGAAACTGTCATTATTCACAGATGACATGATATTGCACATAGAAAACCCTAAAGACTCCATCAAAAATCTACTAGATTTAGCCCTGGCCAGTTTGGCTCAGCAGTTAGAGCATCAGCCCGGGTTTGGTTCCTGCTAAGGGCACATACCTTGGTTGCAGTTTGTCCCCAGCCCCGGTTGGGGTCATGTGGGTGGCAACCACCCAATGTGTCTCTCTCACATCGATGTTTCTCTCTCTTCCTCCCTCTCTCCCTCTCATTCTATCTGAAGATAAATGAAAAAATGTCCTCTGGTGAGAATTTTAAAAATCTACTAGCTTTAATACACAAATTTGGCAAAGTAGCAGGATACAAAATTAACATCCAGAAATCGATGCCATTCTTATACACCAGTAATGAACACTCAGAAAGGGAAAGTAAAAAAATAATCCCATTTACCACTGCAACAAAAAGTAATAATAAATTACCTAGGAATAAACTTAACCAAGGAGGTAAAAGACCTCTTCTCTGAAAACCCCAGAACATTAAAAAAAGAAACAAAGGAAGATATTAAAAAGTAGAAACGTTCCCATGCTCATGGATTGAAAAAATCAACATCATTAAAATGTCCATACTACCCAAAGCAATCTACAGATTCAGTGCAATCCCTATTAAAGTACCAATGCCATATTTCACAGGTCTAGAACAAATACTCCAAAAGTTTATATGGAACCATAAAAGATCCCACCTGGCCACAGCAATCTTGAAAAAGAAGAACAAAGAGTGAAAGATCACAATACCAGATATCAAATTATACTACAAAGCCACTGTAATCAAAACAGCCTGGTACTGGCAGAAGAACAGACATATAGAGCAACGGAATAGAACAGAGAACCCAGAAATTGATCCAAGACAGTATGCACAATTAACATCCAACAAAGGAGGCAAGAGCATACAATGGAAAAAAGACAATCTCTTCAAAAAATAGTGTTGGAAAAATTGGACAGCTACACATAAAAAAAGAAACTAGACCACCAACTTACACCATACACAAGAATAAACTCAAAATGGATAAAAGACTTCAATGCGACTTGTGAAATCATAAAAATCCTAGAAGAAAATGTAGGTAGAAAAATGTCAGACATCGTATGAAGCTGAATTTTCACTAATACATCGCCTAAGGCAAGAGAAACAAAGGAAAAAAATAATAAATGGGACTACATCAAATTAAAAATTTCTGCATGGCAAAAGAAACCATCATCAAAATGAAAAGGGAACCCACTCTCTGGGAGAACATATTGCCAATGATACAATGGATAAGGGGTTAATATCCAAAATATACAGAGTACTCATACAACTCAACAAAAGGAAGACAAACAATCCAATTAAAAAATGGTCACAGAACCTGAATAGACACTTCTCCAAACAAGACATACAAATGGCCAGGAGACATAAGAAAAAATGCTCAACATCTCAAATCATCAGAGAGATGCAAATTAAAACAACTGTAATATCACGTCACGCCTGCCAGAATGGCTGCCATCAACAAATCCTCAAACAACCAGAGCTGGTAAGCATGTGCAGAAAAGGGGACTCTAGTACACTACTGGTGGGAATGCAGACTGGTGCAGCTACTTCGGAAAAGAATATGATGTTTCCTCAAAAAATTAAAACTGGAGCTGCCATTTGACCCAGTGATCCCACTTCTTGGCATATATCCTAAGAAGCCTGAAACACCAATCAGGAAGAATATATGCACCCCTATGTTCATAGTAGCACTATTTACAATAGCTAAGATCTGAAAACAGCCCAAGTGCCCATCAGTAGATGAGAGGATAAAAAAGCTGTACATTTACACAATGGAATACTACATAACTATAAGAAAGAAAGATCTCTTACCATTTGAGATGACATGGAGGAATCTGGAGAGTATTATGATGAGTGAAATAAGCCAATCATAGAAATACAAGTACCACATGATCTCACTTATTTATGGAACATAATGAACAAAATAAGCTGTTGACCAGAAGAGATCTAGAGTCATGGAAGTAGGGAACAGACTAACAAACCTCAGAGGGATGAAGGGTGGGTGGGGTGGGAAGACATAAACCAAAGAACTTATATGCATATATGCACAACCAATGGACACAGATATTAAGTTAGGGAAAGCAGGAGGGGGGTGGGAGTAGGAAGGAGGGGGTCAATGGGAAAAAAAGAGGAACATCTGTAATACTTTCAACAATAAAAATTAATTCATTAACCTGTTAACTGAGCGGGACGTATAAATACGTCAAACATTGCATACAGTAAAAAGGGAATTCCCCAGTTAAGAGGTTAATTAAAAATAAAAATAGAAAAGCAAAAAATACATAAAATCAGTTTGCGTTATTTCCCATATGAACAACTGTAAACCTCCTTTTGCCCCACCCTGTAGTTTACACGTATAGCCTCAGTCCAGCGGCTCCAGAGATACATGTGGCTAGCGGCTCTTGTACTGGCAACACCACAGGGTTCTAGGAGGGGGCCAGGTGGAAGCAGAATTAGGTTTTATGTCACCTGACTTGAATTCAGTTTATTACACTTCAGGAAATTCACTCATACATGAATGTTCCACACACAGGGAACTTAAAACAAAAACTTTACATTCATTTTCTACTTGTTTTTATCACTATCTCATGGCTATGACTTATTACAGTAAAACTTTTGTTTTCTTTTAATTACATTAATACATGCTGATTGCAAAATAGTCAAACAATATAAAACCGTATCAAGTAAAAAGCAAGAATTTCCTACAATTTTATCCCCTAAAGATACATAGTAGTTTAATGTCTATCCTTCCAGATTTTTAATACCTATATACTGAAATGTAAATATATATGTATGTATATTTCTTTTAGAAAAAAATAAGTTTAACTAATCCACACTGTTCTGAAAGCACCTTTTCTGTTTACTAACATATTATGGTCATCTTTCTAGTGCATGGGTGTCCTTAAGCGAGGGGCAAGCTGAGAGTTCACAGCTCCACCTTGGACAGAACCCTTTGTATTAAAAATAGTAAGAGGCAGGACAATTTAGTTATGGTGGTCCCTAAAAATACTGAAATATCCCAGGTGGCCAGCCCCAACCCCAAATTTTAACCAATGTTTCTGAACACAGATAAGTTTATAATGTCTCAGAGTAAAATGGAACTAATAATAGTATTATTAGTTCTCACCAGGGCTAATTGTAGGAAACAAATAAAATGAAACATGTAAAGTGCTTATGCTGAGACCATAGTAACTATTCAATAAATAATATAAAAATAAAAATTGCTACTGTTTTTAGGGAAAGAAAGTTGGAATATGTGAAAGCACTGTGAAGATGGACAAGCAGTTTACAATGTGGCCTTCCACCAGCAGTGAAAACACAAAAAGAGAAGAGAAGCAAGGTGAAGGACAGGGAAGGCAGTCTTCAAATGACAGCCTGTCTTAAACTGTACCCAGTAAAAGCTCCTCAAAAGTGGGCATGTCAGTCCCAGGTGGACACATATTCGAGGTAGGTAGACACCTTGTAATCTGTATCTACCCCTCTTCCACACCTGCTCTATACCTCTGTAATAAAAAGACCTATACTTCTGTTTTCTTCAAAAGAAACCTTAAAAATGTGGGGAAGACAATTCATTCAGCCAAGTAGCCTTATACATACACTTACATCTACATAATAATAACGTGTATAGCCCGGCTGGTATGGCTCAGTGGTTGAGCCTCGACCCGTGCACCAAGAGGTCGCTGGTTCGATTCCTGGTCAGGGCACATGCCCATGTTGTGGGCCAAATACCCAGTGAGGGGTATGCTGGAGGCAGTCAATTGATGTTCATTCTCACTGATGTTTCTATCTCTCTCTCTCCCTCTCCCTTCCTCTCTTTCTAAAATCAATGAAGAAAAAAATGTTTAAAATAATAATGATGATGATGATGATGTGTATACAGGAGACACCCTTCCAAACATCATTAAAAACACCTTATCCTCAGCACAAGGAAATCACACTGGCAGGGAAGGCAATCAGGAGATAATAACCTGGTCTTTGATGAGCTCCACCGCAGACTCCTCAAGGTCCAACTCATAGCACAACCTCATGAAAAGTGGTCCAAACTTATACTCCCCCAAAGTGACATTTCTGTTCTCTGCATGGTACCTGGAATAAAAATGATTAATTCCATAAACCAAATGGTGGGACATGGGGAAAAGGACAGACAGACTGGGACAGACACTCTGCTAGGTGTTGAGGACACAATAAAGAATGAGGTACTCTCCGTCTGGAGGGAAGCTTGCAGAACTGAAGCTAATCAGAGGAATCCTGGAGTACAGACATACACCAGGTATTTAAGAAAGCAAATAAACAAAAATGTTTGTTGGAGGCCCAGCTCTCTGTGAAATAAAAGAGAAGAAAACGTACACTGTAATCTTCTCAATTTAGCAACAACCTGTTAGGACTGACTGTGAGCATATGTCAGGGAACAGCAGGGGTTTTGTACCTGTAAGCCCATCAGAATGCCTTGTCTCTGTATGGGCCCCACCTCGAGAGGAGCAAAGGAAAGGGGTAGGGCAATGCTCTGTCCCCGGCAAGGCTGGTTTCACCTACATTGAGGATGGCATTTTACAATTATACCATCTCTCTGTTTTCCTCAGCTTGGGAAAGTCATATATGAGCTACAATCACCTAGCTAAACAAGCTAAATGCTGGCTTGACATTTTAGTTTTAGGAACAGGCAAATTTCAAAGACCGTGACATCTCATTTGTGGCTTGAGAACAAAATCTTTGTGCTTTAGACACTAAGAAGACAATCTGGTAACAACACAAGTGCGTCATGATTACATGTAAATCAGATTTTGGAAAACTCCATTCATTATGTGAATAAATCCCAAATACCACAGGGACAGCTCTGACTTTAAAAAACAGAACACTTTTTAACCTTCTGCTGAAATCACTCAGGAAAGTCAAGCAGCATTATGAATAGCCCATCCTAAACATATATACTGCCAAATAGAACAGTGATGAATACTTCTAAAGATACATTTTAAATTACAATTATAGAAGCTTCAAGAAATATTCATTGCTACATTATAACAGTTATGAATTAAGTTATATCAAAATATCAAGTTGTTACATCTTAAATATATATAATTTTTGTCAATCATACTTCAATAAAGCTGGAGAAAATGTTATTAGAAGGCAATATAGTGTAAATAAGGATTTTTAGACTCTCATTCTAAACTGACAGTTCAAATCCCATCTCTCTTACTTATTAACCGTGTAACCATGAGCAAATTAATTAACCACTACGTGCTTCAGCTTCTTATCTTTAAAGTGGAGCTAAGAAGAGAATACAGAGTTTTCGTGAGGATTAAATGAGGTGATATGCCTGGTACACAGCTAGTCTTCCATAGATGCTAGTGCTTATAAAATGTAAGACATGCTGAGGAAAACATCTTTAAAAATCAAAATATTTCAGTAAATAGTCTCATGAGAAACTTATGTCAGATTAAAAACAAAACAAAGCAAAAAGAAAAGTTTTCGCAATTTAAATGACATTCACACTAATTAAAAGTCATAGAAAGTCACAGAGATAATGTATCACCTTGTTCCCGTTACAGGATCTAAAATCCCTCTGTACGTACGTACACCAATGTGGTCAAGATTAGGATGGGATTATGTTGTTCCTCATTTTTGATTCAATAAAGACCTTGTATTTCAGCTCCCTACTTCTTCCTCCGCTGTGGGCTGCCCGTCTCAGAAGAGAGGGAACAGGTTGGTTAGGCCCTGGCCTGCCCATCTTCCCACTGGTCCAGCTGCTCACAAGTAGAGAGAAGGATAGCAACAAAGGAACGATGAGTCATACTTTGAATGTTTACGAAAAAAATAGAGTAGAAAGAGTGTTCAAAATTTCATCCTGTTTTATTACTCTGTCAAACATCTGATAGCTTTGGGCAGTAAAGCAGGCCAGAGGGTCCTACATGAGTCAACTTCATAAAATTGAAAGAGTAGAATTAGGTTTGTTGATACAGTGTGACTGCAAATCGGTATAACTTTTGAAAAATAAGCTGCAAGTTTATATTGACAAGCTTTAAAAGGTTCATGCTGCCCAGCCGGTGTGGCTCAGTGGTTGACCTCGACCCATGTACCAATAGGTCACCAGTTCGATTCCCAGTCAGGGCATATGCCCAGGTTGTGGGACCAATCCCCAGTTGGGGGCATGCAAGAGGTGGCCAATCGATGTTGTCTCTCATTGATGTTTCTATCTCTCTCTCCCTCTCCCTTCCTCTCTCTCTAAATATATCAATAAAGAAAAAACAAATAAATAAAAGGTTCATGCCCTCTGAAGCCAAAAAGAAAATAAAGAATAACTTTTATGCATAAAGTTCCTCATCATGGCATTATTTATACTGGTGAAAAGTTAGAAATCATTTAGACATTCAACAACAGGAGCATAGCTCATCAAAATACCTAACATACAACGGAATGTGGTATATCCATTAACATATAATTCCTAAGCACATGATTCACAAGCAAAAATATTTATGCCAATACTAATTAGAAAACAAGAGAATACCATTATATATACAGTAATAATTACAACTATGTAAAATGAACCCTACTGAAATCATAAAATCATTGCCTGAAAATAATTAGTAAGGATGTATTTTTGATTTTCAGTTGGGAATCCGTGATGATATTTATAATCCTCAATGTTAACTTGTAACTTAAATTATATGTGAAATTCCGGTGCCCCTAATCCCTGCATTGTTCCAGGAGAACAGTATATCAAAATATTAGCAGTGGTTTCTTAGAAGTGGCAGATAGGCCCAAAGATGGCCACCATCAATTCCTCCCCTCCCTGTATGTACACACTGCTCCATGCATCCATCCAGAGGCGGGCGGAATCTGTTCCCCTCCCCATGAAGCTAGGCTGGCAGGGTCACTTGCCTTGACCAAGAGAACGCACCAGAGGTGAAGCTGTGCCAATTCTGGGCAGCTCTACCAGGCCTGCAACTTCCACATGTGCTGTGGGCTCGTACACTCTAGGCCAGACTCCTGAATGGTGAAACACTACAAGGCGAGAGAGGGCCATATGGAGGGGCACTGAGGCATCAGCAATGCAGGTCTTCACCTTTCTTGGACCTTCCAGCTCAGCCCAGCAACCTGCAGTTGAGCCAGTGACTTTAGTCAACACCAACAGGAACCGCCCAGCTGAGATGGGCCTCAATTCCTGACCCACAGAGTTGTGAGAAATTATAAATAATGGCTGTTTTCATTAAGCCACTGAGTTCTGGTATGGTTTGTTATGCAGTGAGAAACATCTAAAACAGCGAACTTGCAATATATTTGTTCTTTCTACTTTTTTGGTGTTTTTCTGTAATTGTTTTTTATTTTCCTTTTTAATTTTTTTTCCTTTATTGATTCTACAGAGAGAGGAAGTGAGAGGAAGAGAGACATAGAAACATCAATGAGAAAGAACATCGACTAGCCACCTCCTGCATGTCCTCACTAGGGATCGGGCCCACAACCTGGACATGTGTCCTCCTGCATGGGTCACTGCTCAACCACTGAGCCACATGGGCCAGACCATTTTCCTTTTTTATAATAACATTAATTTTTTCACATTACAAAATTGCTAATGTCCACTATAGACAAGCTTAAGAAATCAGAAAAGTACACATTTAGACAGATAAAAAATATAGAATGTATTAATTCCCAGAGAACCACAGTTAATTTTTGGTATATATATTCTTCTTCCAGTATTCTATATATGGATACCTTATATTTCTCTCTTTAAATGTACAATATAAATGCAGGTCCACGTATAGAAATATATCTTTAAAGAATGGTAAAAAGAAGCAATAAACTTAATTTACAAAATGAAGCCCCTTGATTTTCTCCCAAGGAAGAGAAACCTTTGCTGGGTTTCCTAACAGCAGACTATGATTTCGTGTGAGTTCCTCTGACTGGAAAAATGACAATGGATCAGACACAACAGAACACAGTGGGATAAGCCTGAAGAAGGGAGACTAGTTAGGAATCCACTCAAGTGATCCAAGTGAGAGAGGGTGAGACCTGAACTAAGGCACTGGGAACAGGAACAAAGAGAGGATGGTTAGCGATGAGAGACCCCAGGGAAGTGGAAGCAGTTGGATTTCTCATCCTGTCAGGGAGGGGAGCAAATGAGATTAGGGGAAAGAGGCTCCCAGATATCTGCCCTGGGTGACTGGTCAGTGTGACAGAAAATACAGCAAGAGGAAGAAATCTGTATAAGGTGAATGTGAAGACCTGAGGGACGTGTAAGTGGAGTTAGTGAATTAGCTGGTGATTTCTTGGGGCATGGATTATGTTTTTCTATCCCCAGCCCCTGGTATGCAGCTCGCTAAAAGAATGAACCTAAATGTCTAGAGCTCTGCGCAGGCATCTAGACAAGAGACATGGCAGTCATCAGCATACAGGTGATGGCCTACGCCTTGGAATTGCATGAGATTGCTCAGGAAATGGAAGAGTGTAAGGAGAGACAAAGGCTGGCAGAATTCTAAGGAAATGCCTCACCTGTAAATGACAGTTTTAGCCAGTTCCACATCATCACGGGACTCACACAAATGAAGTAAGGTTTTCAACTCCTCCTTCAAGATGAGCTTATTCTGGGTCAGTTTCTCTTCCAAGTTTCTCAAATAGGTTTCTGGAAGAAAGCACAGTAGGGTGGCCATCACTGAGGCTGGCAGGGACTATCAGTCTGACTAAGGAGAAGGGGAAGCCAGAACCTGGCACGCCACCAAGGGGCACTGAGAGGGGCTGGTGGCCTCGCAGCTCCCATCACTGGCTGGTCTCCCCGAGCGTAGTGTCTGAGACGGTGCATGACATAAAGCACTTGTGTCATAGGGGCAAAACCCATGCCTCACTTAAGACTTTCTAACACAGAATAGGAGCACAAGAATATGTATTTTTTACTACCTGGGTAACCCTTTTTTTTTTAATCCTCACCCAAGGACATTTTTCCATTCTTTGTTCAGCTAGAGTGGGAGGGAGAGAGAGTAAGAGAGAGAGAGAGAGAGAGAGAGAGAGAAACATCATCGTGAAAGGGGCACACTGAGTGGCTGCCTCATGCACCCAACCAGGGCTGGGGACAAAACGCAACTGAGGTACGTGCCTTTAGTGGGAACCGAACCCGGGTCTCTCTGGACTGCAGGCCGACGCTCTAACTGCTGGGCCAAACCGGCCAGGGCCTACCTGGGTAATCCTTATGCACACTAGTTTGAGAATATCCCAGAAGTTTAGCCCAAAGAACTATATGTACAGGTGACTCATGAGGGGAAAAAAGAAAGAAAATGTAACCAAGATATCCAACTATCAATTGGCAGGGCACCCAGCAGGAAAATGTGAACTGAAGGTGGGTTTACCCACAGTAGTTGACTCCTGATTCGGAAACAGTCTGTGTCTCTTTCATTTAGTCCAGCTTTACCTCTCTTTCATTCCTCCTGGTCTCTCTCTACTCAGCTGTTGGAAAGCATGCTGTGGGACTATATAATGCTCAGGGGGTAAATAAAAAAGTCACTCTTTTCAAGGTGATCATACTCTGTCTCTGTCCCTTGTCTTGTGTCAAATCAACTATGGGGACAGCCAAACAACAAAAGGAAACATAGCTTCTTGGCATCAGGAAGGGACTGTATTCTCACCAGAATATGGGGTGAGATGCAAGGCAGGCACCAGAAGGCAGGGCTGTTCTCAGAAACAGAAACTGCCAACATAAGGCGACAGGATTTGCTCCAAGGCTCAGGGCTTTGAAGGAACGCTGCACACTCCTTTACAGGAGTGGCACAGCATATGCTAAAAATGCCAGATCTGGACGCTGAGCCAGACACTGTTCTCCATTTACAAGGCCCACTAAATTTGAGATACTGTAGTGAACCCTCCAATCTTTACTTGCAGAACCACATAAGGGTTAAGGAATTTAGAAATAGAAGGACCTGGGCTGAAATCTAGGCCTGCCACTTGCATGCTATGGGGAGATCAATGTCAGTGAGACCTGATTCCTTATGTGTAAAGTGAGCATCATGACACCTACCTCATGGGATTATCCTGAGACAATGTACATACAGCATTTAGCACAGAGCCGAGCAGAGACAAACTGCCAGTAAATCACTGACATTGTTCTGCTTTTCATTCCTTCTAGTATCTGTTAGATTTAAGAGGATTTATCCTATTAAATATTTCTAAACAATTTCCAATATAAAAGATTTCAGTGGGATGACTTTACATCTAGTGCTCTTTCATCTTTCTTAATAAACCTTAAAAATCCAAAATTTCAACAGATGTAATTTATATTTTAAAACTAATCAATCAAGATGTAAATGCTTATCACATATTCATACACAAGAGGTATGGTTCCCGCCCTGGAAGAGCAAAGTCTAGTCAAGAAGACAAGATATAGTTATAGAAAGCTACCTGAAAACAGTGATGGAGTAGGTAACACACGACTGACTATAAACATAATAATAGAAAAAAAAAAAATCTGAGTAACAGAAACAGATTATGTTTGGTGGAAGGGGAGAGGTACCAGAAGGAAGAAAGCGGCTAGACAGGGTTAGAGAAACTGAGAAGAGGGGGCACTCTAGGTCTAAGCATGAATAACAGCACAGAATTGGGGTGGGGTGGTGAGGGGAGAACTGTGACTATATTAACAGGAAATCCCAATGGACTCCAGAAAGGGTAAGGACCATTATGGAAGAGCTAAGAAGCCAGGGGTTAAGTTTGCACATGATGCTGTATGTAACACGGTACCATTATGGGTTCTTACAAGGATGAAATGTTGACATGATTTTATAAATTCAATCTAACAATGGAGTAGATTGGCACTGATTACATTAACTGCCTTTCAGAACATACGCACAACTGTCACAGCCTTAGAAAGACTGTGACAATTGGAAATAACAACCAGATAATGTCATGGAGCCCTACTTTTACAAACTTCACATAGTTCCAAAAGACCTGGGGTAAAAAAAAAATCATGAAGTAAAATCTAGATTGAGTCTCCTAAAATGAAGATTAATATACTCTCCCCCACACATAAGGCTTATCTTCTTGTTCTGTTGGTGGTATTATATAACACTATAATTAGCAGAGCAGTGAAGGCAGACTGATTTCTAGAGGGCTGGACTGTGAGTGAGAGAATCATGAAGTGTTAATTAGGTGCTCGCTCATAAACATTTGACAGTATGGGCAAAAGAGCTAAAAAAGTCAATAAAGAAAGTAAAAGAGTTATTAAAAGAGAGGAGAGTCTTGCTGCATTTACAAAGAAATCTGAAGGACTGGGAAAAACTCAATGTGCAGGAGAGAGGGAAAACACAAGATTTCTCAGATCCTGAAAGGGAACAGGACCTAGGTGGTGGTGTTGCATTTTTAACTTTTTATAGTAAAATTTCAAACTACCCGAAAGCACAGAGAACAGTATAATGACCTCCCATGTGCCCATCACCAAGCCTCAATAATTGTCAATATTTTGCTACTTGTTAAAAGAAATCTGTTTTAGCCTACTGACTTTTCCAGCACAGGGTAGAAAATACAAAAATGCATCATCACACATAGCACTGTCTTGTTTCATTTTATTTCATTTATATAGAGATAAGTATGTGTGTACTGGAGATATAACATAAAATATATTTTTTACTGAGGGTTGCATCAAAAAGTTTAAACGCCATCATCTGGAGCAGCTCATATCTGCCTTTATTGTACATACAAATTGTCTAGAGTAAGGTTTGACATTTCAATCAACCTCTCAGTTGTTGCTGATCCGTGAACCTTTGAGTGGCATGGATTAGAAAATGGCTGGTTGCAGCACTAGTTTTAATATTTCTCTGGGATCCTGGGTGAAGGGATAGGAGGAGAGCTGTAGACTCTACAGTAGGAGAGAATGAGATGAAAGGTGCATGTAAGGGTAGACTTGGAAACTAAAAATAAATTGTCTCAATTTTTTCTGAGACAATGAAGGAGAGACTGAATAGGGATAGAGACAGAGAAAACTTGAATGACAGAACAACAAAAGGATGAACAAAATGGTTTCAAATACCTTTGGTGCCAGGAAGATTGCATGCAATAGCGACCTTCTTATGCTGAAACTCTTTTAATTTCACAATACTGTTTGTAAGCAGATATCTTTTAGCTAAAAATTAGAGGGAAAAAAAAGAATAAAATTATTTTGACTGTTTTATACTTAGCAAATAACATGAGTAGAACTTGATTGCCTCTAATTGCTGATCTCATCTTCACTTGGTATAAATAATCCATCTAGATCAGTACAAATATAAAAGTCACCCTAATGGGAAAAAAATCTCCAAACTACCACAGAATGCAAATCTTCAGCAAGACAAGTTATGTTCATGTGTGTAAAAGGAGCTAGTGATTAATTGTGTATGAGGATGGGATGACAGAAATCTGGGATCTGAAAGACAAATGAACATTCACCATCTAGTTAAGGGATAACAGGGAATTTTAAAACAAACAAATTAAAGGCTATTGTTTAAATGCAAAACAGGAATATCTAATTTGGGTATATTTAGGTAGAAGCATAGAGTGTAGTGGAAAAAGCTATAGTGCGACCATTAGAACTCCCAGTTCTGTCATTTGCGAAATGAAGGGTATGGTCTCTCAGATTTGGACTCTCAGTATCCTCAAGATATGTCAGAAATCACTGGCCACAACTTAGCAGAAAAGATGAGTTTGGGAAACATCATCATTTTTTTTTTAGGATGCTGGGCTGTGCATGGAGTGGCACTTGGCAAAAGAACCATCCACTAAAAGAACTTTGGGTACTGCAATAAAAAGGTAACAATACAAATTGCTGTGTGGAGAGCTAGTTACTGTCCAGCTGCCTGTGTTCAAATCCCTCCCCTACCAGTTTCCTCTGACCTGGGGCAAATTAGATATACTTGCTGTTTCCTCCTGTGTAAATGAGAAAAGAATGGTATTCTGCCACTGGGTGTTGTGAGGAGCTTAAGAATGTCTGTAAAATGCATTAGAATAATGCCTGAAACAAAGTGTTACATATTTTCTCACTCATCAGTATTAAGGAATAATTTTACAAATGAAGAAACCTGTTCAAGATCTTTCATATTGTTAGCTGCAGAGCTAGAACCCTGCTCCCCAAACTCTGCAAGACACTGACACGGGGGGGGGGGGTTCCACAGAGCAACGTCGCCCATCCCAGGAAATACTACAGCACCAAGGTCAAGACCCCAACCCAGCTGTCCTTCGGTTCCCAGGCATATGGGTGTCCACGACCCCAGGGGCCATCGCTGCACCCACGCGCGAAGCCACGCTCGCCTGCTCCAGGCCAGTAAGTAGCTGTGGCGCTGTTATATCTCCAAAGTGATGCCCGCTAAGGTGTAAAGGTCCCTTCTGTCCCATCTCCCCCTCCTTACGGCGCGAGGCCGCGGATACCTCCGAGAGGGCAGCGGCAGCATGTAGAGCCTGAGCCTCCCACCCCAGGGTACACCAAAGACCGCAGCGCCTGCAGCACATCTCGCTTCGGGGGCCGAAATGCGACAGCCATGCCGTCCTGGCCCGCACCAACTGCGGGAGCCGGGAGGGGCGGGGCTTCGGCCGGACAGGACCCCACCCCTTCCTCTGCCCGCAACCCCCCGGACCGGCGTTCCTCTTGGTATGCTCCAAGATGGCGGCCCCCACGGCCCGGCACGGGATTCTCCTGGCACGGAAAGTGCCTCTGCCTCATCTCTCCCTGGCAGGTTGGTGGCTGCTGCCTTCGTAAGGCTGCTTCATTAGACCCCTAAAAACTCTGTTTCTCGAGTGAAAGTGATAGGCTTTCAATAGGAGAGGAGGTTCTAGTTGCTAGAGAAACGATTTGGGGTGTTTGGTAGCAAAGAAAAGAGAGGTAGGGTCTCTGACCCATCTCCTTTCGTAAAGTAATAATGTCTGCCCCTCCAGAGGTGTAAAGAGCAGAGAAAGTACAGGCATGAGCGCTTTTGCGAATGAGTTGCTGTTTGTATGTTAGGGTAGTTGTCTTTTGCTGATCCTGAAAAGCCCAAATGTGCCCACCCCCAGGGCTCTGAAAATTTTCTCCCTGCTGAGGTCTCCTTAGAGGGACGTCATAAGCGTTCTCCGCACCACCTCACAGGTGGCCAGAACCCCTGGTCTTCAGTTGGTGGAAGAATTTCGCGGTATGCTAATCTCACTTTACCTGATGACCTTGGACACAATTTTTGATTGACCTTCCTTTGCTACAGTTTTCTAGCTCATAGTTACTTCTACAGCACTTTGATATCTGAGTGAATGGCAGCCCACTCAAAACGTGTTTAATGGATCTGCTGATAAAGACATTGGGAAAAAAGTATTTTTTTTTTTAACATTTTCAGAAGCTAAATCCTGACAAGTGTATATGATTATGTGATTAAAATATAATAATCGTAATCGATGTTTCTCCAATGCCTGTTATCTCCTCTTTCCAAGTACCTCCTCCAGCCCCTATAAAAAAGCAACACATACACGTTTGCTCACACTTCCTTGGGAATAGCCATTAAATATCAACATGAAATCATAGTTGGCCACCAGGAGTTATCTGAGGACTAACGGGTTGACCTAGCTGGTGACAATATTTAATACCACAGATTAGGTAATGTGGTATGTGCAGTACCTGGCATCTCAGTAAGAATTAGCTGTTGTAGCTATTTACGAGCATATTTAACTATGTTTGTTAGTTCATGTTTCAATTTAAACAAGGTCTTAAATTGTCTATCAGGGAGGGTATTGTTGCTTAGAATGTTTGGGGGCAATCATTCTAACAAGGGAATGCAGATTGGGTAAGGATGACTTGAGAGAATTTCCAGTTAGCATTTTGGTCTTAGTTTGAACTGGTGAACGTGTGGTAGGTTGTACACCTGTGCCATTCCAATGTGGTAGCTATTAGCTGCATATGGCTATTTAAGTTAGTGAACTTTAAAAAAAAAATTAAAATTCAGTTTTTCAGTCACACTAGCTACATTTTAAGTGCCCACCAGACACCTGTGGCTAGTTGCCACCATATAGGACAGCTCAGAATTGAACATTTCCATCATTATATAAAGTTATATTGAACAAACACTGGGTTAGACCATAGATGAAAGGAGTCTTGAAATTAGGAAATGGAGGCTGTAAGGCAAGTAATATAAATAAGTAGGATAGTGCATTATGGACCCCTCGGGATTTGAAAATGCTGATAAGGAACTTGACTTTAAGTCATCAAAACATCTTGAACTGTGACAGGATAAGAGAGAGAAAATAGGCTGTGTTGTACAAACTTATGGCAAATTAACATCCGAAACACTTTGGTGCTTCTATTGATTCTACATAATTAAATCATAATGGAGAAGGGGAACTAAAAAGATCAAGAAAAGGTGACTTCACTATATGAAGAGGCTAGAGGAAGGAAACTTATTGCGCATCTAATACACTGGGGATGTTAGGCTAGGCACTTGATATCATAATATGCATTCATTTAAATTATGGTACAATGTAGGCATCATTTCCCTGTTTTACATGTGAAGAAAGGGGTTCAAAAGGTGGTGAAACTTGTCTACATTTTCATAGCATTTATTAGCAAGGCAAGGATTCAGTCTTAGACTTTGTGACTCTAAAGCCTCTCTGAGTCTGCAGTCACACTGCTTTCCTTTGGATGGAAAACACGCTTGGAGACATTTGACCAAAGTCCGGAATAACTATAAAATGAGTAAGGATATGGATAGAACCAACTAGTTTTCACTAAACTTTGAAATTCTGGTCCTTGAAGGTATCTTTTCAGAATTAAATGGAGAAAATATTTCTTTTTATAGTGGATAGTTAAGTCAGAGAATATGATTGCGTCAAAAACTGACTGGCTGAAGGGTAGGCAGGTTACCAAATTACCACAAATTTGGTGGCTTAAAACCATATAGATGTATTATATTACAGTTCTGTAGGTCAAAAGTCTGACGCAGGGTCTTACTGTGCTAAAATCAAGGTGTTGAAAGGGATGTGTTCCCTTTGAAAATCTCTAAGGTAGAATCTGTTTCCTTGCCTTTTCTATCTTTTATTTATTTATTTATTTTTTTTATCCTCACCCGAGGACTTTTTTTTGCATTTATTCTCCGATAGAACAATAGGGTGGGAGGGAAAGAGGGAGGAAGAGGGAGACAGAAACAACCCTGGGGACAAACTGCAACCAAGGTACATGCCCTTAGTGGGTGTGGTCTCTGGTCCGTGGGCTGACGTTCTAATGGCTGAGCCAAACCGGCCAGGGTGCTTTTTTTTTTTAATTGTTTTTATTAATTTATTTTTGTTACAGATGTTTCTCCTTTTTCCCCAATTGACACCCTCCCCGTCCCCCCAGCTTTGTTGTCTATGTCCATTGGTTACACATACATGCACATAAGTTCTGTGGTTTATCCCTTCCCCCCCACCACCACACCCCCTCTTCTGAGGTTTGTCAGTCTGTACCCTACTTCTATGTCTCTGGGTCTATTTTGTTCATCAGTTTGTTTAGTTCATTATATTCCACAAATAAGTGTGATCATGTGATATTTGTCTTTCTCTGCTTGGCTTGTTTTGCTTAACATAATACTCTCTAGGTCCCTCCATGTCAACTCAAAGGATAAGAGATCTTTCTTTCTTATGGCTGCATAGTATTCCATTGTGTATATGTACCAGCAATTAGACATGAAGAAAAAATAAAAGGGATCCAAACTGGAAAGGAGGAAATGAAACTGTCATTATTTGCAGATGACATGATATTGTACATAGAAAACCCTAAAAACTCCATCAAAAACCTACTAGATTTAATAAATGAATTTGGCAAAGTATCAGGATGCAAAAGTAATGTCAAGAAATTGATGGCATTCTCACACACAGAAACAGGGCACCTTTTCTGTCTTTTAAAGACCACCTGCATTCCTTTGCTGATGGTCTCCTTTCTCAAATATCTTCAAAGTGAGCAATGGTTAATAGTCACACTATCGACCTGACTCCCTCTTCCAGCCATTATCACATTCAATTTAGGACATTTTCACCACCATCCCCTCAAAAAAACAAACTCATTAATAGTTACTCCCCAATTTCCCCCAAGTTTCCCTAACCCTATAAATCAAGCAACCACTAATCTACTTTCTCTATAGGTTTGCACATTATGGACTTTTCATAAAAATAGAATTATATAAATATAATATTTGGTCTTTTGTGATTACCTTCTTTTTCACTTAGCATAATGTTTTAGAGATCCATCCATGTTGTAGCATGTATCAATCAGTATTTCATTTCTTTTTATTGCTGAATAATGTCCCACATTTTATTTACCTGTTCATCAGTTGATGGATATTTACATTGTTTCTACTTTTTGGCTATTATGAATAATATTGCTAGGAACATTTTAATACAAATTTTTGTGTGGATACATGCTTTCATTTCTCTTGGGTGTAAACCTAGGAGTGAATTACTAGGTTGTATGACAAGTTCATGTTTATATTTTAAGGAACTGACAAACTTTTCCAAAATGGCCACACTATTTTACATTTTCATCTGAAATGTATGAAGGTTCCAGTTTTTCTACCTTTATATAGACGATGGTTATTGTCTTTTTTATTACAGTCATTCTGGGTGTGAAGTGGTATTTCAATGTATTTTGCATTTTCCTAATAGAAAATTATATTAAACATCCTTCCACATACTTGCTGGCCATTTGCATTTATGTGTGTGTGTGTGTGTGCGCGCGCGCGCGCATGCACATGCGCATACTTTTTTTTTTTTAGAAATATTTGTTCAAATCCTTTGTCTATTCTCAGTTGGATTATTCGTGTTTTTAAATTTTGATTAGTAAGAGTTATGTATATATTCAGGATGCCAAGTCCCTTATCAGATAAATGATTTACAAAAGTCTTCTCTCATTCTGTGAGTTTTCATTTCACTTTCTGGATAGTGTCCTTTGAAGCACAAAAGGTTTGATTTGAGCTCATTTATTGAGCACTGCCATATGCCAGTCATTGTGCCAGGTACTGGGAATATAGCTATGCCATTTTTTGAGTTACCTCAAATTTGGCTTATTAGGTTTTACTTATTTACCACTAGGGTGATGGTTTACTGGGTAAGATACTATTGTTTGCTTTATGTGAAATAAGGGTAAATATGCTGATCTAAGTCAGATGGAAATGTTTTGAAGACCAACTAATGATTATGAAGCATTCAATTAGTGAGTTAAGCAACACTTCAGCAACTGTTTCTAGGTCCAAGTAATTCTAGGTTCACTTATGCTATAATTTAGTGGAAACGAATCGCTCCTAGTCCCAAGGTTATAGAAACAAATTTACCAGCATTTTTAACTACGACATTATTATAAAAATTTTCAGTTTTCTACATCTTCTCCTTGTTAGAGATTGTGTGCATTTTGTCTGGAACTGAATTATTAACTATGCAGTGTTGGTTACAGTATCATGTTCTAATCTTTAAATAATCTAGTAAATTGAACATATTACAAAGTTATGTTTAATAAAACAGATATATAAACTGAACCTGTTGTGAAACCATGAATGTTGAGATAATTGTCTCTTTCCTCAGGTAAAAGATGTCTGCTTTCTGCAGCATATGTGGACAGCCACAAATGGGAAGCAAGAGAAAAAGAAGATTGTCACCTTGGTAGGTACCTATGTGTCATTTTCAGTTACTCTATATGTTTACGATTATAAATTCATATGGTGTATATATGAGATGATGCTTGTATGATCATTTCAGATAAGTACAGTTTAGGTCTTAAAAAGAATTAGACTTTTGTTTCACACATGGCAAAATCCTTTTTGCCATCCTACTAGTTGTTTTTTGCCTTGATGAATAGTCTTCCTAAATTATGTAAACAGTGCTTTCTTTTTGTTCATTTTATTGTATAGTTAGTTAGTTGCCCTGCTGTTTTACTTATCTGCAGAGAAAAACGTATTTTATACTTTCATCTTTATTTATTATCATTTCTTAACATGTGGTCTTCAGAAAGCTTTTTGACTCTCCTCTTTTCATTGCCAGGTGATAGATAGATTTGAAAGCTGTGTTATAAGCTCATATAAACCATTTAAGGAAGATAGTTGGCTAACATTGTCTCAGGCAGTGGGCTCCTCATTATAAGCTCCTGTTTCCTATGTTATATTACACAGATAGCAACCCTTCTTTTATAAAATAACAAGGCCTACAAGAAATCGCTGACCCTGTGAACATTTTATAGACATATACATGCTACATATGTATAATATATTGTATATATAACATCATTGGGATAAAGTCAAGACGATTGGTGATAGTTTTATGTGAATAATGTAATTTTTGGATCAGTTCCAGTGCTTATCTCATATTTTCACCAAGATTTCTTTCTTTGCTTTTTTGGGGGGGCTTATGTTAAATAAGAAGAAAGTCCCCCTGTGTTTATGGATTCTTCCCATAACTTGGTTGGGGAAGGGGCAGGGTTTTTTAAAGCTATGTACAATAGCTACCTTGGGGAACAGAGTTGGTTTGTGAGACCTGGAATTGGGTGTATGGGTAAGAACCAGCCAAAACAGCTGTGGAAAATCTGAAAATTAATAACTACACATTTGCACTGAAATGTAGAATCCCTGTGAACAACAGATAGAAGTGCAGATGGCTATGGATGTGGTGTGCTAGCAAAGTCAGATACTATTTGGTATTATAATGGCATCATCATAGGTGACACAGCTTTTTTACAAAATGGGGAACAGCACTTGGTAAAGTTCTGAATGAATCCAAGTGCTGTCTTTCCTCAATTTACCCAATATTTGCATTTATGGAAAATTCAGCTTATTTTCAAGTTATGCCCCTCCCTAAGTACTTTGTTTATATGTAAAATGGAGTTAGTTTTGCTAATTATAAATAGGTATTTTTGAATAGTTTGAATGTCTGCCCTGTCATACATGGCATGATATGTAGACCAAATAGTTTTAACTTTTTATATGGAAATAATTTGAAATTTACAAAAAAAAAATTATAAGAATAATACAAAGGGCATCTGATACCTTTAGCCCAGATATACGTATTGTCACCATTTTGACCCTTTTATTTTGCTTTCTCATTCTCTGTATGCATACATTTTTTTAACCCTTTGAGGGGTTTTTTGCATATATTACAGCTCTTTATCCTGAAGGCTTTAGTATATATTACCTGACATTTTTAAAGAAGCCAGTCCCTGCCCTGGCTGGTGTTGCTCAGTGGTTAGAGCATTGGCTCGAGGACCAAAGGATCTCGGGTTTGATTCCCAGTCAAGAGCATGTACCTGGGTTGCAGATTCAATCTCTGGCCCTGGTTGGGGCACATGCAGGAAGCAACCAATCAATGTGTCTCTCTCACATCGATGTCTCTTTCTCTCTCTCTACCTGCCCCCTTTCCACTCTCTCTCTAAAAAAAGAAATAAATAAATGGGAAAAATATCCTTGGGTGAGAATTTTTAAAAAAGGAGGAGCCAGCTCCTTTGTAAAAAAAAAAAAGGATATTCTTCTTTCTGGGTTTGTCTGAGATTTCCTCATGATGAGATTCAAAATATGCTTTCCCAGTCAGAATATTGTCAGTGATATTTCGTCCTTCTCAGGGCACATCTAGAGATACCTGTTGTCGATCTGTCTTCACTGAGAGTGTTAACTTGGATCACCTAGTCAAGTGTGTCTGATTTCCTCACTGGAAAGTTACTGTTATTCTCCCTTATAACTAATAGGCAATCTGTGGAGAGATTTCTTCTTTATTTATTTTTAAATATGTTTTTATTGATTTTTTTAGAGAGAAAGATAGAAACATCCATGTGAGAGAGAAACATTGATCAGCTGCCTCCTGCATGTCCCCCCCTGGGGATCAAGCCTGAAACCTGGGCATGTGCCCTGACCAGGAATCAGACTGGGACCTCTCAGTCCATGGAGTCCATGGGATGATGTCCAGTCCACTGAGCCATACTGGGGGCTGTGGAGAGATATTTTAATATGTAAATATCCTGTTTATCAGCACTTAATAGGCAGAAGATTTAGCATCCATTGAGGCATCTTGCCTGAATCAGTCTTTACTACAACAATTGCAAAATGATGGTTTTTCAACTCCATTAATACTCCCACATTTACTAGTTAGTACTCAGTATTCTGCTGTAAGCAAGAAGAACCCTCTCTTCTTTCCCATGTATTTCTTTGAACTATATTTACCTGTTCATTATCAATATGGTCTTCTGGATTGTGGATTTCACTTGTTTTTCTTTTTAATGATTCATTACCATTCTTAATTATTTGAGTGATCAAATTGTCTCAGATTTGGCTAGTAGGAGCCCTTTCAAGCTGTCAATGTTCCAGGCTTATTTTGTACCTTTCCTGCTGTAGCCCTGGAATCAACAATTTGTCCAAGGAGTCCTGGTTCCTTTAGTAGGGAATGCTATTAGAAGCCAAGATCTCTGTACTAGATGTCCTCTTGTCATTGTGGAGTTTTTGCTTTTTTGGCCCATTTAGTGGACAGAGCTAGGAAAATATGTATACATAAACACATACAGCTGTGTACATCCATGCATATATGCATACATGTATACATTTTACATGTAATAAGTTCTTATGAAACCTCCAATTCTAATGCATCCCCACAGGGTTCTTCCTTGCCTTCCTCTAGTCCATATTTGTATGTCCTTTCCATGCTGAAAACCTTGACTCCCAACAGGGACAATGTTTTGATGTATTGGACAGTCTCAGCATTGCAGGTTATTGAAATTTCCTTTCTTCTGCCTATTAACTGCCAGTAATGCCCTGCTGTCATTCTGACCGTCCAAAAAAATACCCCTGTATATTCAAAAATGCCCTCTAGGGCCAATAATACTCCTTTTGTGAACCACTGTTGTAATGATGAAACTTGACAGGGACTCAATTATATTGCAAAACTTGTTCTGATGTACTGTATATGAGTTAAAAGAAAAGTGCTATGGAAGTACAGAGAAGAGAACGAAAAATTTCAGGAAAGCTATTAACACTTTCTTAGGTATAGGGAAGGAAGATTAGTAAATGAGACCATTATATTTGGCATCTTGGTATGGAGTATGGGCAGCTGTGTGTTATTTTGAGACAAATCTAGGGGAACATTTTCACGGATTCCTGAATAAGCAAAGGCTGTTTGCCAAAGAATGAACATCATAATCTGCAACGAATAAATGTATGGGGGTAATTGTTTCCTCGTCTGTTAAGATTAGTATACTTGGAAAACAGTACTAGCTACCATTTACTGAATACTACCTGGCCTAGAATACCCTTAGTACATCCTGAACCCCTACCCAGTCAGAATAGATTTTCCCTCGTCCTCTATTCTTACAACACTTATGCAGTGTGATGTGGTGAAGCTTCTGCACTTGGGAGACAGACGTCTAGGTGTGAACCCCAGCTCTGCCAGCTTTCCAAAACTATGTCACTTCGGTTTCTGTACCTATAAATTAGGGATGCTGGTAATGCGTGCCCTAGCTAATACTCCGACATAAACTAGGTGCTCCAGAAATGTGTGGAATGAACAAGTCCCTAGGCCCTTGATTTTACATCTATATAAAAGGTGGGAGGTTTTGAAACTAAAACAGTTTGGAAGGAAGAGAGACTATTTGAAACAATATTTTTCCCTTATTGTGTAATAGAACGTGATTAAAACAAACATTCGCTTCTACGTGCTATTACTACGTGTTTTCCCTAACGCATATTTGAGTGTTTGGGTTAGTCTACTGGCTCCCAGAAGTGAGGGCAGCTTGTGGTCAGGCGGCACGACTGATGCGGCCTGCGGAAAATCGGGCAGTAGGTGGCAGTGCGGCCTCTTCGGAGACCGCCATGCAGACAAGTGAAGCCCCGCGTTTGGGTCCGAACCTTTCCCAGTATCCGCCTGCCTTTCCGGAAGCCTCCCTGTGCGCGTGCGTGCGTGGAGGGCTGCCCTAAGCATGTGGAGTGCTGTGATTGGGCGCGGTGTCTCGTGCGGGCTCGCTGATTGGGAGAGGGAGGAGGAACGTTGTGAAGCATTTACTCCGCGAATCCCCATTGGAGGGCGTTGGGTGGAGTGAAGTGCGGCGGAGAGGAAAGGGGTGGGTCTGGGTGTGGGTCTGCGTCTTCCATCTGCTTAAGTGACTGCGTCTTCGTGCAGAATGCCGTGGAGGAGGCGTTCTGGGTTCTCGGATAGGCGCGCAGCGATGGGGCCTCCTCTCGTCAGTCTCTTTAGTGGTTTTCTGTTAGTGCCTCGAGGGAGAGCTGATGGGGGTGGGGGGATCTGTCCAGCTCGCAGTAGGAGGGTACTTATGTTCCATCTTAGTACAGTGTGCCTTCGCTGCAGTCTAGGGGGCGAGCAGGCCATGAATGCAGTGCACGTCCTCAGATAAACATCAAAAGACAACCTCTGTTCACTGCTGGCTGTGTGCCATGTTCTGTGCAAAGCATTTCACACGCATCATTCCATTTAATGCTCACAAAAGCCAGGTAAGGCAGCTGCTATGATTCCCCTTCAGAGATGAGGAAACAGGCCATATTCTGACGTTTGCTTAGAGCCATACTGTATTCTATTGCCATCCCACTCAAAAATAGCTTCCTCAGTGATTGCTGCAGTACCTGCAATTCTACCATAGAGTCTCCCCTTGCGTTAAAGCAGTGGATTTCTTGTTTAAA